GTCACTTAAGCGATCGTAGATATTGCTTAGCAATTCTTTTCTTTTCACTTGGTCGATTAAGCAATCGTGGATCGCTTAATCGATCATGTGATTGGCAGAATCAAATCTGCCATGTGCATGATCGGTAACGATCCGAGATATCGCTTAAGCAATTCTTGTTTTTTGTCTTGGTCGATTAAGCAATCCGTGATATCGCTTAAGCGATACTGTTTGAAAAATCCTTTGTCGCTTAAGCAATATACTTAGTCGCTTAAGCGATCATGGGCAATATATACTTTTCCAGCTTTTCTCTTGAATTTTGACAAACTAAAATTACCAACACGTATTAATTCCATACTTTCTCCAATTTGACAACCTAATTCCAAACTAAAATCACCAACAAAATTAGGCCATGTAACAAGAAATATAAAGAATGATTATTAAAGGTAACAATAAAATTTAAAACATCAATATTGAAAACAATAACTCATCAACGGTTGGCCTTCGCAACTCCCTAAATTTCATCCTTCTTCGAACCTAATTGTCTAGATCTGCATGTGATTACTTCTGGCAACTGCTTCTCTGTGGCTAGGTTACTTGCAAATTGAGCACTTATTATCTTCCGGGGAACCTCAAAGGCTGATGGAATACGTTTTAACTCTTTTTCTCTCTTTACTGTCTTCTTGAATGGCGGAGGATGATAATGTCAGCCAACTCTGGCGGCACTACCCCTTGCTCTCCTAGAGGCACTGGATATATTGTTTTTGAATAAGCTAGCATGTAGTGATTGCCATATAGAGAGGGGAGCAAAGTTCCATGTAAATTCTTAAACCAAAATCCAGCTTCCGTGGTGTTTCAGTGCTGCTAGTGTATGAAGACAAGGTAAACATTGAATGTCAAGCACTTTACAGCTACAAGTTTTACTAACAAGGTTAACTAGGGCATTTGGACCATAGCCGCACACAATGAACTCTTGAGCATTAAGAGGATAGGCAAACAGTGCATTTGACAGTTCCATACGTTCTCGCAATAATTTTTTAGCTGACGGAACAAGGGTTGTAGTAAAATTATCTGACTCCGTACAATGCTCATGGAACCACCGTGACAATGTCCTCGGATTGCATCAAAAAGTGCAACTATTGGAAACTCTCTTTCTATTACAACTTTGAATTTATGACTCCGCTATATTCGTGGTCATGACATCAACCTTCTTCAGAAAGTAAGCTCTACTCCATCGCTCAAAAACACATCATGCTCAAGATACTTACAACTCTATCATCCTTGATTGGATTTGCTGGAAGTGTTCCTCGAACTCATCAACCTGATAAGCTTTTGCTGCCAGTAATATGTCTGAAGGAGGCCAGCCACACTTAAACTTTTATTTTATGTTCTCACCAAGGTGCCTCATACAGAATCCGTGATGTGCTTGACGATAAATAGTGGCAATCCCTTCTTTATAGAGTTGTGCCTATCGGATATTATGCCAACTCGTCACTGTTAGGCACTATTACGTAATTGCTGAAAAAACCAAGTCCACGACTTGTCATTCTCAAAGTCAACCACATACTATGCAACAGGATATGTATGATTCTCACTGTCCTGTGCAGTGGCCCAACAATGTACCTCCATACTTTCAGTCGAAAGCAACCATCAACAGCCAACACCTTTCTCATGTTTACAAAACCCCTTATAGCAGAACCGTAAGCAACAAAAGATATTTAAACATCATATTCCTGTCCCATTTCAAAGCCGTCTTGCTACCTTGGTTTGTCAACTCAAGCATATAATGGTACGTTTCTAATACTGTATACCCGTTTCGGCGTGCCCCTCACAAAATCTTGTGCATGTTGTCTTCCTTTCCAGCATTTCCAGTAACTAACAACACATCCTAATCTTGTGGGCACAAGTCTTTGAATGTCTTTAGAGAGATGGACCTTTCCCTTCAACAAACCGACTTTTCACAAATTGTCCATAACATCAGCGGACACTTGTCGATGCTCACCTGAAATATGTCCCAAACCACATGTGTGCTCAGGGGTATATGTGCTAAGAATAAATTTTTCCGACTCCGCCAACCTCTATATAAACCCGCTACTTGCACTTTCGGTCACGACATGCAACCGTCACAGCCAATGAATTTGACTTTTTGGTAATGAACTCAAAATTACCTCTAGGCAACAAGTTTTAGCTTCCTCACTACTTCCTCTTTGTTGTCAATAAATACTCTATGCGCAACTCCGATCCATCTGTAAAAACATGAGCTGATTCATTACTATCTCCATTACCCCCTCTGAACCTGCATAAACAACCATAGTGTTCTCTTTCTCACATCTACGCCTTTACATAATCTAGTATTAAAGGAATCTCTACATCTGTGGGAACATCGGGGTCCTCTCCTCAACATTTTCATCTGCCTCCTATCACCAACCTCTTCTAAAGTGTCCCCCTCACCACTCAATTCACCGTCTACTCTTGATTTTTACAACAAATCAATGGCCTTGTAGTTCAAATTAAAACCAGGCAAATCTCCACCTACTGCCTCGTTATCCCTTCTTTTAACCAACTTCCACAGTTTTTCTACAAAAGAAACCCTTAAAATCAGCCTCGAACCTTATCAGCCACATCAATCATATATAACTTCACACTTTCATCCGACTTTAATATAGTAGGAGGTACCTTATAATGTTCAGAACTCTGCTTAAAACATACTTCACACTAATCACTATGCAGCAACTCAATTACCTCTTCTAATTTTCATTGATCAACTCATCAAAACTAACCTCTGTGCTACAGAAGTTGTATAACTTCTTTGCTCTTCCAATCCACTTCCAACTACTTTCTTCCTCAATACACTCACCAAAATATTCAACACCCAAAACAACTTGTCCCATGTGTAATAATAGCCAACTACTTGTAATGCAAGAAAAAAAAATATTCTTAAATGCTATACTAAGGGTTCAAATATTTTAAAAAGAATCTGCATAGTCGCTTATATGGTCTGCTGTATCGCTTAAGCGATCATGGTTATTTATACTGGATCGCTTATAAATAACCATGATCGCTTAAGCGATCTTATGCCATTTACTGATCGTTTAAGCAATCTGCTCCTATACACCTGACTTTTACTAGATCGCTTAAGTGATCTTATGTCACATACCTGATCGCTTAAGCGATCTATCTGCTGCATTACCAGACCTACCAGATCCCTTAAGCGATACACCAGATCGCTTAAGCGATCCATCATACCTAGAACACATTTTCAATCATCTCTACCTACAATCAATCCATCATACCCAAAACACATACCCAGAACAAATTTTCAACAAATTTCACTCCTTTCAACTTGCATTACATCAAACACAACCCAACCACCTAAACAACTAAATCAAAATCATAACCCAAACACCATCCATTATTAAATATTTGTAAATCTAAATATAAAATGTAAAGAGGAGATACACATACTTAGACGAAATGTGAGGAGGAGGAGGAGGAGGAGAGGGATCCTTCGCAGAGAAGATGTTAATGGTGGAGGAACAAGAAAGTGTTAATGGCGGAGGAACAAGAAGATATAGAGGAATGAGGAAGAAGAAGATGTAGAGGACGGAGGAAGAAGAAGATGTAGACGAAGAAGAAGATGTAGACGAAGCTAAGAAGAAACAGCAACCAAGGTAGAGATGCGTTAATGGCGGGAGGAAGAAGAAGGTGTTTGGGTTTGTTAGCAAGAATTTCGGGTTTTTGGGAATATAATATAGTTTTTAAAAGATTACATAATACTTCATTAATCCTAATTAAGCAGTAATTAAGTTTAATTACTCTTAATCAATAATATGGCTATTTAGTTAACACTCTAAAACTTCATAGCCTTTTAATTAAATTCAAACTTCAGCTGTCGTTTTAGTAAACTGCCCCATTCTAGAGGTATGGAAAATGAGGGAAGAAGGGAGTTTAAGCCACTCTTACCAGGTGGTGAATGAGGGCAGTCAGGGGCAGATGCTACTCTAGTTGAGTGCCCACCCTCAATTTTTTTTTTAAAAAAAATATTAATATGTATAATTTCTAAATTTTGGCCCACCCTAACAAAAATATTAATATACAATTATTTTTTATTTTGACCCACCCTAACAGAAATTTCTAGATCTACCCCTAAGGGCAGTGATAGAGAACTAGAGATTGATAACGACGCAGAAATGCTGACGACAAAAGGGTAGAACCACAAGAAGCAGCAACAAGGGTGGAAGATGACAATGGGCCAGCGACGGTGTTGGAACGAGGAGTTCTGTTTTCAATGTTTTGCCATTTGCATTGCGATATCCAGATTTGATAGGTTTGAATTTTGATAATTTAATCTAGTCATCTAAATGCCAAATAAGTGAATAGAGGCAAAAAGAAAACCCTAACTGATTTGGTTATTTGTTAAGTAATAGACTAATGGTCTAAATAAATGTATAAAAGAATTTTAAGTACACTAAAAACCAAAGAAGCTCATTAGCACAATTGGATAAGATCTCATTACTAAGGATCTAGATTTAGAAGTCTAGTGTTAAATTACTATTGTTCTTATCTTTTTTATTTTAAATGAGAGAGTCAGTTCTAAGCTAGTTCCAAATCGGATACCTTATTCTCGGTCCTAGTTCCTTAAATTGGTGGAATCTGAAACCTACCCACACAGTATCAATTCCTTAAATTTGAGATCGAAAACCTAACCTATGGAAGGTGACTCCGGGTAGGAATCGAAATTGCAATGCCCAGTACCATGTCGCTTCGGGCCTACCCTATATTTTTGCTCACCCTTACCTACCATGGTCAATCACAATAAATGCACCTCTGTGAAATTCCAATCTTACTGCAAAATCACTTAACTCTCGATCACGATCATTAGATTCCGGGGGGGTAAATGCTAGTAAATCAAACATAGGACTTGGTAGTTGGTGATGGACCTAAACCCCAGGGGGGTCAAGAGAATTAACTCCATAAAAAAGTGATGGGTTAGGTCAACTGCTTCAATTTGCACAAATGAGTCGTGTTTTTATTACCAACCATTTTTGACGATCAAAAACTTCAACTTAACCATTTCATTTCATTTCATTTCTCAGATCTGAATGTCACAAAATTAGCACCAATGTGTCCTCTCAGACTCATTCTTGTCTTCCTCTCCGCCACTCTCGCCGGTTTTTTCCTCCTGAGGAACCTTAAATCTCAGCCCCACAATGTTCTTGATTCCGACAACGACTGCAACAACACCACCAATTCGTCGACCCAACAACCCCCCGCCACTCCTTTCTCCAAGGTTTTCAAACTTTTAATCTGGTCCCTTTTTTATTTCTGGGTTTAATGTCTTGGTAAATTAAATATGTATATTTTTTTTTTACTCTTTTTTGCAGGTTCGTTTAACAATGGAATCTGGGTTTTGGTCTTTTGTGGACATGGCTAGTGGTAAATATTTGTGGAGGCATTTGGTTTCTTCTTCTCCAAAACGTGCGTAGTTGAAAATTTTCATCTTGATTTTGTGATTGTTGTTGTTGTTGTTTTTGTAAGGAAAAAAAAATTGTCATTACATGAATTACTCGAGCAATTTAAAAGGGTTATATAAGATGGGTTGTGGGAAATGAAAAAACTGAACAATAATTGTATTTTTAGTGTTTGTATGATTGGATTTTGGTAAATTATCAATATTTGCTATTGATTTGATGAAGTGGTAAAATTTTGGTATTTATAACAAGTACTTTTGGTGGGCGGGTTTAATTAGACTGTTTGATCAAATTGGGAATTATAATTGGATCAACTGGATGCGGTTAATTTTTCAGTTTTGTGATGTGTAGAAGAAGCTGAATGGAGATTCTATTTCATGACCTTATCTTGCTTGCTGGGACTTTAAGTTTAGAATAATTTTTGCACGCAAACTGATGTGGTACAGAATCAGCGGAAGAGTAAACGTATTAGTTTGTGTACGGAATTTATATTAGAATTACTCTTAATTTTATCTAAGATGATTTGACTCGTATGTGGAAAAAATTTTGATACTCTTCTTATTGTGATTTCATCATCTGTTATGGGTTTTATACAGCAATCTATAGATCTTTTTTTTTTTCATTTTGCACCATATATTCCCTCTTCTAGTTTGGTGTCATCTATGAAGGCGGTTAGAATGGGGAGTAGTCATTAATGTTTAGGATGTTGGAATCATTGGTTCTTTTTAAGGATTTATTGTTTTAAGTTATTATATCTTGTGTGAAGATTGATTTATGGAATAAATGAGTTATGGTGTACTTTAACATCTAAATTTGTTTCTTGTTCATGTTCATATGATTATTATTTGTCCTTTTTATTGGGGTTCAGAGGAGGAGTTTGTATGTTTTGTGGCCTGCCTCCTCTCCTTCTGTCTTTCTTAGGAGATTGTTATATCTAGTCTTTCTAGTCATCAATGATCTCCATGCCACAGTAAGATAATCCCAATACTAGATCGTCCGGTTTCTATGGTCACCCATCTAAGAATGGGATCATTTCAAATCCTTGAGACTCTTTCTGTCTTACATCTGGATTCTGAACCTAAAAAATCCAAGCATCTAACCGTTTTGTGCTGCCATAGATTGTTGATACATATACAATGGATGGGATAGCGATCTACTAGTCTTGCCAGTTTGGAATTGGATGTAGTCTTATAAAGAACATCTGATTTTGTGACATCCAGTTTTTCACGTCTGCAGGTCATGAAGATGATTGCTTATACTGAAAACAGGAACTTCTTAGAAACAACTTCTGTGAAATCTCTTAACACTTCATCACTTCTATATCATAGCCAAGCATGCCAAAAAAATAACAAAATCGCATGTGCTGTCTAAGAACATTCCGTTGCAGTAGAAATAGATTGCAGGGGTTAGTTAAGAACAATTTTGTTATTCACCTGCATTTTCATTGGTATAGTTCTGAGTTTTGAATGTGATTTGATAAATACTTAATATGAGATTAGTCCTTTTCCCTTTTTTTTATTTTTTTATTTTTTAAATTGATCATGTTATTCATTATGCTGAAGAACATGAGTTTCATTTTCTGTCTTGTTAAGGGCTAAAGAGAATCTGTAAGTAATTGCTTCTTTCTTCACTAACAGTTTCTGTCATCTGTTTTACTTTTTTCTTTAGTTGGTGAGAATGGTGAAGTGAAGGCCTTTTCTCTGCTAAAGTTTGACAACAGATTCCCTAATTTTAGTTTAATCTCTGTCTCATGTGCGGTGGTTTATATAAGTTGAAAGTTTTGGAATATTAGAGATAGCTTTAGCATTTTCATTATCATCTTAAACATTTAAATTAGTTAAAAGTTCTATTAATAATTTCTCTAATTAATTAAAGGGATGGGATGTCGTAACTTAAAAAAAATTTATTTAATTTTTTTGATATTCTTTGTGAACCGTTCATCTGTTTAAATCCAACACCATAATTTTAACTTACTAAATCCTCTCATGGTTACGAATAACATAGTTACAAACAAACAAAAGTTTCTTAGTTTAAGGACATCGGTAAGAAGAATGTTAATTTTAAATTTTAACAAATTTTATTTAAACTCATTAGCACAATTGGATAAGATCTCATTACTAAGGATCTAGATTTAGAAGTCTAGTGTTAAATTACTATTGTTCTTATCTTTTTTATTTTAAATGAGAGAGTCAGTTCTAAGCTAGTTCCAAACCGGATACCCTATTCTCGGTCCTAGTTCCTTAAATTGGTGGAATCTGAAACATACCCACACAATATCAATTCCTTAAATTTGAGATCGAAAACCTAACCTATGAAAGGTGACTCCGGGTAGGAATAGAAATTGCAATGCCCAGTACCATGTCGCTTCGGGCCTACCCTATATTTTTGCTCACCCTTACCTACCATCACAACAAATGCACCTCTGTGAAATTCCAATCTTACCGCAAAATCACTTAACTCTCGTTAACGATCATTAGATTCCGGGGGGGTAAATGCTAGTAAATCAAACATAGGACTTGGTAGTTGGTCGTGGACCTAAACCCCAGGGGGGTCAAGGGAATTAACTCCATAAAAAAGTAATGGGTTAGGTCAACTGCTTCAATATGCACAAATGAGTCGTGTTTTTATTACCAGCCATTTTTGACGATCAAAAACTTCAACTTAACCATTTCATTTCATTTCATTTCTCAGATCTGAATGTCACAAAATTAGCACCAATGTGTCCTCTCAGACTCATTATTGTCTTCCTCTCCGCCACTCTCGCCGGTTTTTTCCTCCTGAGGAACCTTAAATCTCAGCCCCACAATGTTCTTGATTCCGACAACGACTGCAACAACACCACCAATTCGTCGACCCAACAACCCCCCACCACTCCTTTCTCCAAGGTTTTCAAACTTTTAATCTGGTCCCTTTTTTATTTCTGGGTTTAATGTCTTGGTGAATTAAATATATATTTTTTTTTTGACTCTTTTTTGCAGGTTCGTTTAACAATGGAATCTGGGTTTTGGTCTTTTGTGGACATGGCTAGTGGTAAATATTTGTGGAGGCATTTGGTTTCTTCTTCTCCAAAACGTGCTTAGTTGAAAATTTTCATCTTGATTTTGTGATTGTTGTTGTTGTTGTTTTTGTAAGGAAAAAAAAAATTGTCATTACATGAATTACTCGAGCAATTTAAAACGGTTGTATAAGATGGGTTGTGGGAAATGAAGAAACTGAACAATAATTGTATTTTTAGTGTTTGTATGATTGGATTTTGGTAAATTATCAATATTTGCTATTGATTTGATGAAGTGGTAAAATTTTGGTATTTATAACAAGTACTTTTGGTGGGCGGGTTTAATTAGACTGTTTGATCAAATTGGGAATTATAATTGGATCAACTGGATGCGGTTAATTTTTCAGTTTTGTGATGTGTAGAAGAAGCTGAATGGAGATTCTATTTCATGACCTTATCTTGCTTGCTGGGACTTTAAGTTTAGAATAATTTTTGCACGCAAACTGATGTGGTACAGAATCAGCGGAAGAGTAAACGTATTAGTTTGTGTACGGAATTTATATTAGAATTACTCTTAATTTTATCTAAGATGATTTGACTCGTATGTGGAAAAAATTTTGATACTCTTCTTATTGTGATTTCATCATCTGTTATGGGTTTTATACAGCAATCTATAGATCTTTTTTTTTTTCATTTTGCACCATATATTCCCTCTTCTAGTTTGGTGTCATCTATGAAGGCGGTTAGAATGGGGAGTAGTCATTAATGTTTAGGATGTTGGAATCATTGGTTCTTTTTAAGGATTTATTGTTTTAAGTTATTATATCTTGTGTGAAGATTGATTTATGGAATAAATGAGTTATGGTGTACTTTAACATCTAAATTTGTTTCTTGTTCATGTTCATATGATTATTATTTGTCCTTTTTATTGGGGTTCAGAGGAGGAGTTTGTATGTTTTGTGGCCTGCCTCCTCTCCTTCTGTCTTTCTTAGGAGATTGTTATATCTAGTTTTTCTAGTCATCAATGATCTCCGTGCCACAGTAAGATAATCTCAATACTAGATCGTCCGGTTTCTATGGTCACCCATCTAAGAATGGGATCATTTCAAATCCTTGAGACTCTTTCTGTCTTACATCTGGATTCTGAACCTAAAAAATCCAAGCATCTAACCGTTTTGTGCTGCCATAGATTGTTGATACATATACAATGGATGGGATAGCGATCTACTAGTCTTGCCAGTTTGGAATTGGATGTAGTCTTATAAAGAACATCTGATTTTGTGACATCCAATTTTTCACGTCTGCAGGTCATGAAGATGATTGCTTATACTGAAAGCAGGAACTTCTTAGAAACAACTTCTGTGAAATCTCTTAACACTTCATCACTTGTATATCATAGCCAAGCATGCCAAAAAAATAACAAAATCGCATGTGCTGTCTAAGAACATTCCGTTGCAGTAGAAATAGATTGCAGGGGTTAGTTAAGAACAATTTTGTTATTCACCTGCATTTTCATTGGTATAGTTCTGAGTTTTGAATGTGATTTGATAAATACTTAATATGAGATTAGTCCTTTTCCCTTTTTTTTATTTTTTTATTTTTTAAATTGATCATGTTATTCATTATGCTGAAGAACATGAGTTTCATTTTCTGTCTTGTTAAGGGCTAAAGAGAATCTGTAAGTAATTGCTTCTTTCTTCACTAACAGTTTAGGTCATCTGTTTTACTTTTTTCTTTAGTTGGTGAGAATGGTGAAGTGAAGGCCTTTTCTCTGCTAAAGTTTGACAAGAGATTCCCTAATTTTAGTTTAATCTGTGTCTCATGTGCGGTGGATTATATAAGTTGAAAGTTTTGGAATATTAGAGATAGCTTTAGCATTTTCATTATCATCTTAAACATTTAAATGAGTTAAAAGTGTTATTAATAAGTTCTCTAATTAATTAAAGGGATGGGATGTCGTAACTTAAACTTTTTTATTTAATTTTTTTGATATTCTTTGTGAACCGTTCATCTGTTTAAATCCAACACCATAATTTTAACTTACTAAATCCTCTCATGGTTACGAATAACATAGTTACAAACAAACAAAAGTTTCTTAGTTTAAGGACATCGGTAAGAAGAATGTTAATTTTAAATTTTAACAAATTTTATTTAAAAGGAGGCTTACTAAGAGTTTTGGTGACACTTCTCCGTTTAATTTTACAAAAAATATATGTAACCCTCTATCTAAAGGACGTGATCCTCTTGGGTGCCGTTTGGCACTGGTGGCTAGCGGTCGGCTGTCCTCTTGAGTGGTTAAGGTGTTTTAGTTAACTTTTAAACTTTTATTGTGAGAGTGTTTAGTAAATTAATAAAAATAAGAGGTTAAAAAATAATCTATAATAGTAATAATATAATAATAATATTAAAATAGAAAAACAATTCAATAATCTATATAATATACTCTCCAATTTATTTTTCTCGACCAAACGTATAAATATAACATACTTATTAATTTATTTCAATCTAACTAAACATATTTCTTTAAACATTCTCAATAATTTTTAAATAATCTATATTTTCATTAATATAACATTCTAAATAATATAAAATTTTATGACCTAAACGCATTCTTAGGTGTTAAAATAAATAGAAAAAAATAAATTTAATAAATATTCATTAACTCATAATAGGTATAAGTTAATGCTTAATAAGGCACTCTTGTTATTACATCAAACCTTAAAGAGGTTAATATTTCTATCTCAAAATATTAAAAAATAGAACTAGAAGTTGCAAAGACCTTGTTTCCCCCTTAGGTTTTTCTAAATAATAATTTATTTATTTTTCTGCAGGTATCTAAATAAAAATTTATCCATGTTGTCAGTATTTCGTTAGCGTTTCGGTGTTTATTTGAATGGAGCAGCTACTGTAACATGTATAAGTCAATTACCGGAAATCCTAATGAAACAATGATAAGAGGGGGTAAATTGTTATACATGATACCTGAGGGAAAAATGTTTAATTTGATGGAACCTCAGGGGTAAATTTAACTCAAGTTACAAATAACGAATCCAAAAGAAAGGGTACTATTGTAATTTCGTTTTTAGATTGGAAATTATTTAAAATTTAAAATTCAGTTTATAAAGCAACGATCAACGGTCAATTGTGTCGAAGTTTATAAAGCAACGATCAACGGTCAATTGTGTCGAGAGAGAAAGGAGATGAGGAAGAGAAAAGAGAGAAAGGGAATTGAGTGCCGCCCAGAAACCCTAAACGCAAATCCAATTAAAGAAGAAGATGATGAAAAGAAAGGCAAAGAAGGAAAAGGGTTCTTCGCTTGCTATCTTTTAACTTCTCTCTGCCCCCGTTACAAGGGCCACACCTAAACATCGTTCCGTTCTTTTTTCAATTACTTATCCTCATTCTTCAATACGACGCCTTTTTTTTTTTTTTTTTTTTTTTTTTTTTTTTTTTTTTTTTTTTTGTTTTTTCTCTATATCATCATTGTATCTGCTCAGCCATATGAATTTTTAACTGTAAATTCAAGCTCACTCCTGATCTCATATCTACAGTTTATTGGATTTTTTTTTTAAAAAATAGGATATATTGATTGCTTTTTCATATATTTGAAAATCTTATTGTTTGGATTCAAAATAAAATCTTATATTTGGACTGCTTTCTTTTTATTTTACTTTATTTTTATTTGATCAAGCGCTGCATGATTTTGTGCTCTTTGTTACATATTTTGTGGCTTCTGATTTGATTTAGTTATTTATTTTCCAACAAGAGTTTATTTTTAATTGTGTTTGTGAGGTCATTTTATTTTATTTATGATCTGGCAATTTTAGCTCATTTTTTAATGATCTGATAGTTACAGTGTATTGGATTTTTATTTTATTTTTACAATTTGTTAATTGCTTTTTTCTATTGTGTATGAAACTTTTTGGTTGTTTTTGATCCAAGTCAGAAACCAATATTTGGGCTGTTTATGTAATGGCAGTATTGGATAATTGCAGATTCACTGTGAATCCGAGCCGTCGAATAAGGCAGCATAATGGTGAAATAAGGTGTGGCGCTTTTAGAACGAAGACGAGACGCCCTTGGGAAATGGTTTTATGCATTTATGGCTTCCCAACAAATGTGTCTGCTCTTCAGGTTATGCCTATAATTCTCTAACTTTTATACAGTTTTTCCGTAATGTGCCATGTCTTGTAAAGTGATGAATGTTTAGCTGTCTTCAAGTCATATTGTTTTCTTTTTACATGTCCTACTTGATGAATTGTATTCAGTGTCCGTCTCACATTATTTGATTCTTGTGTCTATGTCAATGTAAAGTTCTACATGGGTAATTGAGCTAGTAGAATTCGAGATTGATGCTCACACTGCTGATGGCTTCTATTTTAGACCGAAAACTTGGTAGGCTGTATCTGTCGCATGCTTTTCTGACCTATATTAGACCACCTGGTTTTGAAAATTTATAACCATGTTCTCCAATCCTTTCTATTCACCCTTTCCCCGTATTTTGTATGCATGAAAAACAACTTTGACCATTATCATTGCATCTTTTTGTCTGCATTTGCGGCAGTGGGATAGCTTTTAACCTATTGGTGAACTCTGGTCCAAGTCAGAGAAGTTCTAGTGCTTGCATAATCAAATTTTCGATGAATTATTATTTACAACATTTTTTTTTTTTAAATGATAGAGCCACCGAAGGTTACGCACCGAATATGTACACTGAATGATGTGACAAAATCCTGACCGTTAGATTCATTATAACTGATAATGAATCAACGGTCAGAATTTTGTTACGTCATTCGATGCGCAACCTTCGGTAGCTGTAGCATTACTCTTTTTTTTTTAACCGGATTGGAATTTGTTATATGCTGTATGAGATTCCAGTTCATGAGGAGGTCAACGTAAGTAGCTAATTTGAGATAAGTAATGTAACGCAACGCAAAGACTTGTTGGATTAAATAGAGTTCCAAATTTGTTAAAATTCTGTTTCAACTTAGCCCTTAATTCAGAATTACATCTTCATTGCTTATTTAGAGTGACGGAATGATTTTTCAGCCCATATTAGAACTAAATAATATGTCAAATCAGAATTCTACAGAGTAATGCTAACCTATTGAAGTGGCCAATTTGATTGATTCTTGCAGTTTGAGTGGGCCTGGCAGCACCCAGCAAAATCACTGGCTGTGAGGCAGGCAGCAGCAACTTTTAAACCCTCTGGAGTTGCTAATAAGATTAAACTCGCATACACAATGCTCAACCTCCCCAACTGGCAGAGGTAAGATTACATTTTTATATGCAACCATAAATGTATATCATCTTGGCTATTGTCTTAACTTCATGATTAGTTGGTCTTATACAAAACATGCCTCGTGTTATCAGCCTGAGTATCACTGTAAACTATTTTTCAACGAAGTACATGAAACATGCTGCTAGTTGCCCAAGCCTGCCAGATCATATGAAGGTCCAAGTTCGTTCAATGAATGGTCTTCCCTGCTATACGAGAAGAGAGGAGAGTTTATTTGGGGATGAAGATGGTTGGGGTGATGAGGATTGTGATGAAACTAGCGACAACAGTGGAAGTTTGGAGGAAACATCAACTGATAAATCTATTAATGCTTCAGAAGATTTTTCACATGGCAATGATGAGGCTTTCTGTGAACAATTAGCGCAGGTTAGACAGTACGGAGATGGGCAACCAAGAGACTCATCAAGTCTAGAGGTAGACTGTCAACAGTCTTTTGGTTCGATCAATTTCCTAACTAGAACAACATCTTCAGTGGTTACCAGCATTCATTTTACAGCAACAACAAAAGAGGCAGATACGTTTGGATTTATTCATGGGAGTACAAATGAATTCGGTCCGCAAAAAATTGAACAATTTGGTGCTGCAGTAAACACAGATGAAAATCAACCACCATGGCTGAAGGAGAAACAACCTAAAACTACTGATGTTACTAATAAAGATCAGCAAACAATCCAAACTTCTCAAGTTTTTCCGAAAGTCGAGATTATAGATTTGTTGACACCATCTCCTAGCTGCAGAATCAGGCCATGCGATAAGAAGAGAAGGGTTTCTAGTTTTTCTCCTGTGATCATTGATTTGACTTAGGCCTACCTCTCAGTGGCGTCAAATAAATAGGAAAAAGAATAAAAGAGGAAAGAGAATGATAAATGTTGCACTACAGTATTTAGTGTTTCTCCTGTACTCAAGAGTCTAGGCTTCCAGTTTCGTCCAATAATATTATTTTGGACATACTGCTATCAAATAATCGTGAAAAGAACAAAAATGAAAACATTCATTGTACTCTGATGATGTTTATTACGTGGAAATTCTTTTTCATAATAACAGATGATTCGTCCCTCTTGTTCTCATGAGTGTTTTGAGTATTTTTGGCTTTGCACCGGAGGTCTGGAATTTAGTCCTGTACATGAAATTTATGGATATATACTGTAAAACCTCTCAAAAATCATAATAACGAGACTAACTGATTTTATTATTATAAGGAGGTTATAACTTAATAGAGGTATAATTAAAAAAATTTCTTATTTCATAATTCATGTTTTAATAGTACAATATTATGATTTCAATTCATATTTTAATAATATTAAGGTTTCAATTTAGCGCTTCAATTGCCTACTTTTAAAACGGATAAAAGATCGTATTTTGAAACCAACAAAGATAACTATCCTTGATGGAATTGTAAATGCATTTGCTGCATGACAATTGATGTGAAGCCATAGACAATTGTCAATTGTTTTAAGCATTACAAAATTAGGATCCCCAATATCGATGAATTGCAAGTTACAAATGAAGTAGATGAGGAGAATCAAAGAATCATTGTAGAATTGAGTAATTAGATTCGATAACTTCACTACACTAATCGAATAAATATTAATATCTTCATTAATCATCCAAATGAGTAACAAGTCATGTATGTTTTAACCAAAGAAGAAATCATTTATACAATTAAACAAGAAGAGAAATAAAATAATTATGAGGATAATAGTACGGAAATACAAAAAATTTCATGTCAAGAAACTATAAATATGCTTGAGAAGCTGGAAATATTTTAGCTTTAACAAGAAAATGTTCATGCTAGATAATGTACTCGTAAGTTAAAAGATGTAATAACAACTCTAAAACATAAATTATTGTCTCAAACAACTTCAGATAAATATTTTATTTCATCTTAAACCTTTAATGTACACATCATATTAGTTTTTGCAATATACAGATAATTATTATTATGTGGAGGCAACTTTCCTTAAGACGAGAATTAGAAAAATTATAACTTATTACATTGTGAAGTTTATTCTTATTTATAACTATCCCAAATCGAAAATATAATTTTTTATGACTTTATAGAGTTTATTCCTATATAAATTATTATTGTAGAAAGATTTTACTATATAAAATTATAACTACGTAAAGTTTATTCTTATATAGTATGTCATTATAGAGAGGTTTTACTACGTGAACTATAACTATATAGACTTTATTCTGAATATCATTATTTTGAGGTATTACTGGAAAGATTTTATTGTATATGAGAATTGTAAACTGCAGTTTTCTTAAAGTTATGACATAATGGTACTTAAGTTTGGTAAAGCAGATCTAGAATATCTGCGAACTCTCTGCTGTTGACATAAAGATGTTTCAAATTGAAGTCTATCTCTTACTTTTGTTATTACAAAACATACATATTATTAAAAGCTGGGGCAATTCAGTGTTATCTTCTTCTGATGTGGGAACCCATTTCCTAATAAAATCTTACTACTATCAGCTACGACAAGGAAGTTCCGGAATTTACATAAAATAATTTACTGCTTTATGAGTATACTAGTATGTTTAGGATTGTTTTTAAAGTATTAAGCCATTCTTTTTATTTCAGATATTTGATTGAAAAGACAAAATGTTTTTTCAAATTTAAAAATATTCAACTACTTTTTGAAACGGCACTAGATTCAATCAAATTACTTGATAAGATTTTCAATAAGAAAAGGAGGTTCTTTCTTTTATGTTATTGAAGTTGCTTGTTAATATATAATACTTAATTGGTAATAATATAGTCCAAAGAACTTTCTTGGGAACATATAAAACTTGTGATTGATAATGAACATAATAGTAATATATTAGATGTCCTTCAAAATTCCAAATGTCTTTTTGAAACCATTTCTGGCTGTTGCCAAATGACCAACACTGCTTGTCCCTGCAACAATAACTCTGAATTCACGTGAAATGAAAATGGTGGCAATATTATCAGCCTCAAATCATGGAGGCCAATCCTTATCAATCACATGATTAATGCACTGCTATGTTGCTTTAACTCTACTACAATAAGAATCAATGAGGGACCTGCACATCATTTTTGCCCATTTCACACAAACACAAGGATTTTCTTCAAAAAGCTTGTTAGGTACATGTCCTGTGGCCATAATGTCAAGTCAAATGGTATCACAAGGAAAAAGTGTACAACAAAGTATTATGCAGGGAAGCAATTATTAATTACATTCTCCAGACTACAACCAAAACTTGCGTGAAGAATTACATACGTGGATTATATCCACCAGCATGCAGTAATAAATGCAAACAAACACTCAATTGATCAAAGCATTAAGTACAGATACCAAACAGCTAAAGATGTCATTACGTTTGTCTAATGCAAAACAAGAAGTATTTGCTGCAGTGCAAGATGAGGTTCGACAACTCTGGTAACTACAGAGAAACTTAAGGCTTGCAAAGCAACACAGATCTCTTACTAATTCAACAGAACTATATATAAAATCAAGGAGAAGATAGCTAAAGAGGCATTAATATCAGTGGACAGTCCCTCTAATTGTATTAAACTAGAATAAATTTACAAGACAGTGTAATATACGTGAGTCATTGATCACATATACAAAAACAATAAATTCATTGAGATGGAGACATCACACTTACAAGGGCAACAATAAGTTAAGAAATCAACTGAAAACATACAAGCATAAGATACCATGAGAATCTGGCGTTATGAGAAGAATAAAAAAATGCAACAGCTGCGGCTGCTATTGTTCTTGTTGATGTTGCTGTTGCTCTAACTGCTGTTGTTGTTGCTCTAACTGCAGTGTTTGTTGCTGCTCTAACTGCTGTGGTAAATGCTGCTGGTGCTCACCCTGCCAAACCCAAACAATATCGCGGAGACCAGGCCTAATACACTCTTTCATCATCTTCTGATATTCCAGTGTATCTCCATTAGATTTCTTCATCTCCACCAAATGAAAAGTTGGAGTTATCTGAAATATCTCTGCATCAATGGACAAGATCCCCTTCTTACCTTCCTTTAGTCCTTCCAACTTCAACAAACCTCCCTCCTTCTTTATCACCTTCAGCCTCAGAAATTTAGCAATTTGTACCAGCTTAGAGATGATAATTGAGGCAGGTTGTTTGGAAGTAAATCTTGCTTCTCTCTTTTGAGGATTTTCATCAAAAAACCCGGACAGGTCAAACCCAGCAGAAAGAGAAATAATATCAAAAGCATTCAAGTTGCGAAGTTGGAGCAACTCTTGCTTTACCTCTGCAGTCATATTACCATTCTCTTGAGAACCAGAAGCACCTGTATCTTGAGGAACTACATCCTTGCTTTCTGATTCACTTTTGTTCTGTTTGGGGTTCAATCCTTTTCTGAACCAAGAACTCTCCCTAATCTTCGATATTGAGATCCTAGTGCCGGGGTTTGGATCCAATATTTTGCACAGCAGCCTTCGTACTTCCTGAGGAAACCAATGAGGGCATCTAAAGTCGGCCTTGCCAATTTTCCTATACATCTCCATTAAGTTTGAGTCATGAAATGGGAGATAACCTGCCAATAGGACATACAAAACCACTCCACAAGACCAAACATCAGCCTTTTCACCATCATAGCCTTTCCTGTTAATCACTTCAGGTGCAACATAAGCAGGAGTGCCACAAGTTGTGTGGAGTAATCCATCTTGACGCTTGCAGTCAGAAAGCGCACTTAACCCAAAATCAGAAATCTTTAAATTCTCATTCTCATCCAACAACAAATTCTCAGGCTTTATATCCCGGTGATAGACACCTCTACTGTGAAAGAAATCAACCGCATTGATAAGCTGTTGAAAATATTTCCTCGCAACATCTTCCCTCAACTTCCCTTTAGCCACCTTGTTAAACAATTCACCGCCCTTAGCATACTCCAGCACAAAATATATCTTACTCTTGGTGGCCAAAACCTCATACAACTGCACAACATTAGGGTGTCTAACAATTCTCATCACGGATATTTCTCGTTTGATCTGATCAATAAGCCCAACTCTAATAACCTTTTCCTTATCTATCACTTTAATTGCAACACTTTGATTCGTTCTAATACTCCTCCCATAATAAACCTTGGCAAACGTTCCTTGCCCCAGCAATCTCCCAATTTCATATCTCTCAGTCAACACACTAGGTTTATGATCCATCCCAGCCCACACAAAACCTTAATATACAACAATTCAACTCAACAAAAAACTACTTAATTTACAACAACACTCCGACATGTAATTTCTTTATTATATTTGCACAAATTAACATGATCAACCGTCTTCACAAAGATCATAACACATTCTTAAACAACTGTTAATCCCACAATTACTCATACAACCAATCTCATCAAAATTAAAACAGTTTTCCCCAATCAAATCCACAACACAACCATTATAATTAACTCCAGAGATTCCTGATTTCTCAACGCTTAAAAAACACATCTTTCAGCATTCCCAATTCGATACCCTCGGCCAAGATTTAGCTGAAAGATCCTTTTCAATTCTCTCCTCAACTCAACTAATCTAATAATTCACAGAAAAAAAAAATTTAAATTTATCAATTTCCACCACAAACAAATTCAAATTCAAATTCAAATTCAAATTCATATAACGAAACTTCAATAAAAAAGAATTTGGAAGAAATTGGTACCTTAGAGAGAAGTTTTCTGAGTTGCGGAGCGGCCGAACCTGACCGGAGAAATTAATTTTGTTTTTCTTTATTTATCGGAAAATCTGTGACACCCCTGACCCAACCTTTTATTTGTAATTAGGTTAACGACCGATCAGGACGGATTGGCTAATGTGTTTGCGTGCCCATGATAAGTATTATCGGGGTTTTTATCATGATCGTTGGATTGAATTGAAAAAGATATTAATGTTTGAACTGTATGTTTGAAAGGTTGGGTTTAACGGCAAGTTACGCGGTAAAGTGTTTTCAGTTCATAGATTAGGAGAGTGGGCCCCGTAGTACTAGGAGATTTCCGATATTAAGGATTTGCATGGTGCACGTCTAACGAATTTCAAAAATTACTTTTATATTTATTTTATTTTATTTATATAATAATA